AGGTCTCAAACTACTGCGCATGCGCGAAAAGTATGCTGTTTGAAATAAACAAATACATTTATTTTCTCTTCACAAAAAGGGTAATTCCTTTCGCATTTATAGTGTTATATGTGGCACAAGGGGATTTTCCACCCCTCCCCCACTCTTGATTAATAAAATTATCCATTGGGGGGAATGAAAATTATATTGCAAAATACATTAAAAATTGCAGATAATGCTGTGAGGATATTCTAGGGGGTCATGCCGATACTCCCCCGCACCAATACTCCCCCGCACCGTAACTCCCCCGTACTAATACTCCCCCGCACCGATACTTCCCCTTAGTAAATTTTTGCATTATGCACGTCGATACGACCTCACACCGATAGATCTCCGCATCGATAAATCCCCTCTAGAATTGCCGTTATACGCGCACCGTTACTCCCCCGCAACGATACTCCCCGCATTATTACTCCCCCTATGCAATTTCCACGAAACTGAGGGTCTGGGTAACGGAGAGTCATTCCTCCATTTAATTATACAGGTTAGGGTCAATCGACGTAAGTGGGTCAAAATCTAGGGCGGGGCTGAATAACCTATGCAAATTGATGGGAACCGGACTGTCTATCATGGGAGAGTCTGTCACCTTGCATCGATTTTTTTCACATAAAGATTTGAAAAATTGGTCAACAACTCGGAAGCACGGCCTACATTGTATAAGAAATACTTTTTTCAAATGGAAAAACGCTTTGGATATTGGTGAGATAAGTTTAAAAACAAGGCAGCAAAGCTGTCAAATGTACAGACAAAAAGAAGGAAAAAACAAAATAGGGTACAGTCAATTCTGATGCAAAAGTACATTATGTTAAACTGCAAATTCAACATCAAATTTTAATTATGCTCAACAGGTAATTCCAATGTAAGTAAAATGCGTAATGTTCAAGCATAAGGCTTCAGCCCCATAGGAGTTCAAGTTCACACTCTGAAAATGTATAACTTCCAGAAAAAGAAGTCAATTAGACTGCTTTTCCAACTCAGGCTGCATTTTAGTCCTGTATTTCTTTTTTGAAAGTTTGGCAATCATAAGTAACATGGTTTTCCCATAATGGTTTTCATGGCAGCAGCACCCAAAATTGTGTGTTCTTCTATTCTGATGCAATATTACA